GTGAGGTTGGGAAACTGTAAGATCGGGAAACAAAGGAACAATACAGATAGTATGTGCCTCAAACTCAGCCTTGAGAGCCAGTCACGAGCATGAGATAACGCAGTCACAGGCGCAAGCTGATAGCATTCTGTTCTTTGTAAGAAGCCACAAACTTCTTGTTCACAGTTAGGCTTATCTAGGCTTCCTGCAGCTGCTTCTTCCCACCCACACTGAGGCAAGCCAAAGGTGGTGCCCATATTTGATAATGAGCAACATGAATAGAGTAGATTGAACAATGTATTAGACACGTGTCAAACTTGCATAGATAGATTGTAAGCCAAGCCTCCAAAAGAGGGGCGGCAGCTAGGTATAAAACTGCTGTACTGAAACTTGATCGGGGCTCTTCGTATCCACGGGTACGAGGAGTCCGCCTTTGCAAACGCGCTGAATAAAAGGGTTATCCTTATACTGGAGTCTTAGTCCTTTGTCTCCACGAATAATATCTAACAATTCTTGGCGCCCAACGTGGGGCCCTCGACGGGTTGCGCGGGGAACTCGGATTCCGGGCCGGCGCCACTCCGTTATTCGGAGTAGCCCGGACCTAGATCTGCCCGCGACAGCTCACGAGGGCTAAGACAGGACTCAATATAAGGAAGTAGGGAAAACTCTAGTTCTTGGTCTGGGACCGCGAGCACCCAGCGGGGACGCCCGCCTGTTCACTAGTTGCGAGAAGCGACGCTGGACTGTATTGGGTGAGTAGACATAAGAACTTGGTAAACTGTGCTGTGGGACGGGGCGAGAGACTCGTCTCCTGAATGAAAGAGAGGCTCCATACGGACGCGTGAGTGTGGATCAGGGTTCGACCCTGACGAGAGGATAAGCTTGCGGTTCCGTCTATCCCGCGAGGGAAGCGGCCAGGCGATTCCGTGCGACTGTGTGTGTGAGTGGAATTGGAGACATTGTAAACCATGGGCAGGAGTCAGAGTAAAAGACAGAGGGAAGAGAATGGGAAAAGCCCAATCGACTCTAATAGCCCGTTGGGCCAGGTGTTGATCCAGTGGGATGAGGACTATTTAAGGAAATTCACTAGGAGTTTGATGAAGGTGACTATGATTAACTTTTGCAGGAACATCTGGCCAAAATATCCAATAGGGCCAGAAGGTGCATATACTTGGGATCCAGAGGGGGAGACGGATAGGTACTGGATGACCCAGTTGAGGAATTATTTGATACTTAATAAGAAGGAAAAGGAGAAACCATATCTAGAGGTATGGTTCCACGCCCGGTTCTACGGACCGGATCCCCCGCCCGTTAGTCAGTTTCCCCGAGGAAGAAGGAGGAGGATTCAGATGAGGAAACACGTCCTGCTCCCTCTGCCCCTCCCGTAGTTGCGCAACGGCCGCCAAGCCCGCCGGCACACCCGGCGGTCACGAGTCCCCCGGGTAATGCCCGGCTGGAGAGGGGTCAGACATCCCCGGGGAATCAGGACGCTGGGGAGGGAGTTAGTGGGAAGGAGCCGAATCAGGAAATTTGTTCACCGCCACCTTATCAACCACCGAGTAGGGAAGTGCAACAATTAGAGAGGGATATACGGAATCTCCCTTTCCCGGAGGGAAAGCCCCGCGGTTCCCCCTTGGTTGATGCATTCCGAATGTATAGAGGAAGGGAGGGTTGGGGACTCTCACGGACGGAGGACCCAGGAGACTCTCCCGTTCATACTTTCCCCCTTAGGGAGACTCCCGGAGGGATAAATGCACAAGGAAATCCAGTTATGGTATATGTGGTCAGTCCCATCAAGCCATCAGAACTCAGGGAATTGAAACAGACACTGCCCAAATTGCATGAGAACAGTCAGGAGGTCGCGAACCTCCTCCAAATGTGGATGGGACCTCATATATACACATACACCGAATTGATGTATATATTGGGGCATTTGTTTACCCCAGAAGAAAAAGCAATGATTAGGAGGGCAGCAATGCAGTACTGGGAAGTTAAGGAGGATCAACGGGTCGCCGCGCCAGTACCGGGTCAAGGTGTACAACAGGTGGTTCCATCGGAGACCAAATTTCCCCTAGGGGACCCGAATTGGGACATAAACGATGCAAATCATCGGACTCATTTGATAGATCTGAAGGAGATGATTTTGGAAGGAATTAGACGGGCTGTACCCCAAAGCACCAATCTCACCAAAGCTTTTGAGGTCAATCAAATGAAAGAGGAGTCACCGGGTGACTTCATACAAAGGATTAGAGACCATTTGACTAAGTATTCAGGGGTGGCCCCAGATTCACCGGCGTTTGACAATCTGCTAAAGATGCAATTCGTAACCAAGGCATGGCCCGATATTCAAAAGAAATTGCAGAAAATGAACTGGCAAGACGCCGCCATCATAGATCTAGTAAGGACAGCGCAGCAGGTTTACGTCAACAGGGAGGCAGTAAAAAGTAAGCAGAAGTGCCAGATGATGGCGGCTACTTTGCAGAAAACTTGGGAAGTTCAGAAACAACAGGAAACCGAGGCTGCGAGAGGACGTGGGGGAGCCCCATATCGGGGAAGAGGGCGAGGGAGAGGGGGTTACACACCAGGTTCCAGTGTCATTTGTTATCGATGTAACAAACCTGGTCATTTTGCCCGAGAATGTCGGACCCCACGAGATCAGATACTGGAAAGAAATGAGCAAAGACAGGGAAGTCAGAGGCCAAGACAGACAGAAAGAGAGGGAGGAACTGACACCACTGAGTTGTTCAGTTTATATGATGAATAGGGAACCTCCGGCTCGCTCCATGGGGCCCGGAATGAGCCACTGGTGAACTTGTGTGTGGGGCCCTCTCAGAAATCAGTGGTTTTTCTGATAGACTCAGGAGCGACCCGGTCCTCTATATGTGTACCTGTTCCAGGGGTACGTAAAACAATGTCAAATTTGAAAGTAGTAGGGGTAAGCGGGAAACCAAAGGAAGTTGTGCAATTAGAAGAAACCATTATAAGAAGAGGAGACCGGATAGCTAAGGGATCATTATTATTCATCCCTGAGTCAGGAATAAATTTGTTAGGGCGAGATTTGATGGTAGAATTGGGATTTCAGTTATTGGATTTAGACTTAGGAACTCCCATGTACCCTCTGCAGATAGAGGATGAGGAACAAATAGACCCAATGGTGTGGGCAGATGGGAAGATGGTAGGGAGACTGGACATAGCCCCCATTAAGGTCACAGTAAAGCCAGGAATCACCCAGTCATGGACCCCCCAATACCCAATGACTAGGAAGGGGAGAATAGGGTTGCAGCCGGTGGTGAATGAACTGATAAAGCAGGGATTATTAGAACCCACCATGTCACCTTTTAATTCTCCTATCTTAGCAGTGCAAAAGAAAGATGGGAAATATAGAATGGTTGAGGACCTAAGGAACATAAACCAGATAGTGGTCCCCGTTTCCCGGTAGTACCGGACCCATATACTCTCCTTAGCCGCATTCCACCCACTACCCGATGGTATACCGTTATAGACTTAAAGGATGCATTTTGGACTTGTCCCCTGGACATTGAAAGCCGAGATCTATTTGCTTTTGAGTGGGAAGATGTGAACACGGGCAGAAAACAACAATATAGATGGACGGTCTTGCCCCAAGGGTATACAGAAAGTCCACTTCTTTTTGGGCAGGCACTAGGGGAAAAGTTAGCAGGTTTTACCACCACAGGCCCCAATAGCTTGTTGCAATATGTAGACGATCTGCTGATGATGGGAGAAAAAGAGAAAGAGGTTAGACAAGACTCTATAAGATTGCTGAATTGGCTGGGTAAGCTAGGGGTGAAGGTGTCTAAGGACAAATTACAGTTTGTACAGCGGAAGGTGAAATATTTGGGGCATTTGTTAGAAGGGGGAACAAGAAAATTGGATCCAGAAAGAGTCAAGGGGATCTTAGAATTACAACCCCCTAAGAACAAAACAGATGTGAGGAGAATGCTGGGACTCCTGGGATATTGTAGACTGTGGATAGACCAATTTGCCAAGCTGGTTCGGTTTTTAAACCAAAAACTAGTCGGAGACGGTGAAATAACATGGGGACAAGATGATGAACAAAGATGGGAAGAAGTAAAGAAAACATTAATAGGGGCCCCGGTCCTAGCACTACCGAACCTCCAACAGCCATTCCACTTATATGTAACCATCAGCTCTCAGACTGCTGTCGGAGTTTTAGCCCAAAAGAGGGGGTGTCGGTATCAGCCAGTAGCCTATCTCAGCAGAACCCTGGAGCCAGTAGTGCGAGCATGGCCCACGTGCATCCAGGTGGTGGCAGCAGCGGCTGAATTGGTAGTTGAAAGCAGAAAGCTAACTTTTGGAGGAGCCCTAATTGTTCATAGTCCCCATCAAATATCCACGGTGCTGACTGGGGCAGCCTCCACCTGGATGACGGATGGCCGCTTAACGCACTATGAAACAGTGCTAAGAACAAGCCCTGATATCACACTGGGAACTGATCGGAATCTAAATCCGGCAGAATTCCTGATAGGAGAAAGGAAAGAATGGGAACCGGATGAACACGACTGCTTGGGCACAATACAATTAATGGCAAAGGTCCGAGAAGATTTATCTGAAACCCCTTTAACAATGGGAGAGAGATGGTACATAGATGGGTCTAGTTATGTTAAGGAGGGAAAAAGGAAATCAGGATATGCTGTAGTCAAGGAGGATGGGGAGGTGATCGAAAGTGGGGCCTTGCCGGCGAATTGGTCGGCCCAGAAAAGTGAAATCATGGCCTTGACCCGGGCCCTCGAGTTGGCTAGGGGCCTGGAAGTAACCATATGGACCGATTCCCGTTATGCATGGGGTGTGGTGCATACTTTCGGGAGGACCTGGCGAGACCGAGGGTTCATTAAGGCAAATGGGAAACAGATAGAACACATGGCCTTGTTGGAAAGGCTGTTGGATGCCCTTACTGGACCAGAAAAGGTTGCAGTGGTACATATCCCCGCTCACACCAGGGGTACTACCCCTGAGGAAGCTGGAAATAGATGGGCTGATTTGAGGGCAAAAGAAGCCGCTAAGGGAGTGCCAAACGAGATAACAATACAGCAATGTACCCTGAGGGTGCCCATTCTTACCACGGCTGACACAGAGAATTTAACTTTCACCTCTCAAGAGATAGAATATATAACAAGAGAGGAATGGGAAAAGAAGGGTAAGGAATGGAGGACCCCAGAGGGACAAATAGTACTGCCAAAGACTGTAATGATGGGGATTCTAGAGAAGATACATGAGAGTGGACATTTCGGGACAGAGGCTATGGTTAACCTGGTGAAATCATTGTATTGGAGTAAAGATATGTGGCCCATGGCCCACTCCATAGCCTGGAAATGCATAATCTGTCACAAGGTAAATAAGGCCAAAGCGAAGAAAACAGAAAAAGGGGGAAGACCTCTAGCAGTATGGCCATACCAAAGAATACAAGTGGATTTCACAGAGCTACCAGAGAAGGGAGGTTATAAACATCTTCTGGTATTCAAAGATCATCTTACAGGATGGGTGGAGGCCTTCCCAAGTCGAAAAGCAACAGCACAGGTAGTAGTCAAGGCCATTCTGGAACATATAGTCCCCCGGTTTGGTATAATAGAAGCCATAGACTCAGACCGCGGCACCCATTTCACACAGAAGGTTCTACAGGAAGTAATGACAGCCCTAGGAATCAAATGGGACCTTCACACGCCGTGGCATCCAGAGAGTAGCGGGAAGGTGGAAAGGGCAAATGCAGAAAAAAACATTTAACTAAATTATATTTAGAAAATGGATTACCATGGACAAAAAACCTTCCTTTGGCTTTACTAAGGATGCGTATAGCCCCCAGAAAGGACTTAGGGGTATCCCCATTTGAGTTGATGATGGGAAGACCATACTTGGCGCAACTAGGTCAACCGATGGTGGAGTTCAAAGACTTGTTCATTAGAAAGTATTTGCAATCACTCTCCCAGTCTTTGTTGTCTCTTCATAGACGCGGTATCCTGGCCCAACGCCCTCCGCTACTGGAGCAGCAACACAGTTTCCAGCCTGGTGACCTGGTCCTGATTAAGACGTGGAAGGCGGAAAAGCTCAGCCCGGGTTGGGATGGTCCATTTCGGGTCCTGCTTATCACCGAATCAGCAGTACGGACTCGTGAGTATGGATGGACCCACTACCACCGCGTGAAGAGGGCCCCGCCTGAACGTTGGACGGCCATACCGAGCCTAGACGATCCACTAAAAATAAGAATCACAAAATCAGGGACCGGGAACCAGGGAAGGACTGTAAGGCAATAACTAGAGCTCCAATGTGTTTATTCTGCACGTGCAAGTGTCTTTTCGAATGCTGTTGCTGTGCCCACTGTGAAGGGTGTGTCTGCTGTGTCCACTGCACGGAAGAGTGCAATCTCATGTGCATAGAGGACATAATACTCCAATACTGTACGATTGCACCGGGAGGGACAATTATATATTGCAGTTTAGTTCAGACCCCCACGGTGGTCCAGGCTCTCAGAGAGTTGGAAAACAAATAATATGAAAATAAGTTGGATGAGGGGATTTCTGTTAGGCCTCTTAACAGTTGGTGTGGTCCGGGGCTCCGCGGAAACGCTACAATGTACAGAATGTATTCAAGTCACAAAAACAGGGAACAAAATTACAAGGACCTTAATGTATTATAATGTAGCTCCAGAGTGCAAGGAGATACTAGACCCCTGTGTCCACAATCAGACCCAGTACTATAGATGTAAAACTGGAGAAAATAAAACAGAATGTTATGAACCTTTGGCCTTAGGACCCACCACCTCCACCGTTTACGTATATGGATACAAAGGGGGGAACAGTAGGGAGGCGGCAACAAAGATCGGTAGCATTCGCGTTGGCTCAGCAGAGGCAGGGGTATATAGCTCACAATGTGACCAGAGGGACTGCAACAATCCACGTATGTTTTGATGCTTGCACAGCTATAGCCAAAGGACAGGGACCAAACAACCAAGAAGGGGTGACCTGTGGATCCCATGGTTGGGAACAATCCTATCTAACAGAGAGTAAATATCTATTTCAGCGAATAAGGGGAGGCAACATAGGGGCAGGAGGAGGAATCGTGAACTATTGGTACACAGAAGGAGTGAGCTCCAACCCCACATATAAAGGTCCAGAAGGAATAAACATAACAAGGGAGGGAGCGTCCACTGACTGCAGCATAGGAAAATGCAACCCCATCTGTTTATGGGCTAGGGAGCTGCCTTCTACTACCCCCAAATACGTTTATCTTGGATTGGGAATAGACGGGGCCGGAAGAGATCCTTATGGGTATCTAATTATTAAAATACATACCACTAAAGTCAGTAAACAGCCAATCTCAGTATTTGAGAGTTTTGAGGAAGAAATACAACACTTAAATAGTTTGCTCCTTCCCCCAAAAGCTCATAACATGTTTTTAAGTTTAGCTGAGACTATCGCCAAAGAGCTAACTGTGAAGAATTGTTTTGTGTGTGGAGGGACGAATATGGGAGACCAATGGCCCTGGGTTGCTCACGAAGTAAACTACACTGAGGTTTGGAAAAATGAAAAGAATTATACATACCACCACCCAGGTAATGAAATTTGGCAAGTCTCAAATAGCCTTGTGGGGTTAGAATGTTTTGTCAGAAATAAGTCAGACGCAGGAAGTGGTACAGAAGTAGGGGACACCCCTGTTTAGGACAATGGAACAACAGGCAGTGGTGGAGTTCGAGTAATGTAACCAAGACCTGGCCATCGGCATTGGCCAACA